CAGGGGGGTTGGACTAGATGACCCACAGAGGTCCTTTCCAACCCCGAACATTCTGTGATTCTGTAAATACGGAGGAAATGTGCTGGCAGCTTTTAGCTTGGGACGCTGAAGGGATGTCGCGTCCTGACAGCGTCTGTGCTGTGAACGGGTATCAGTTGCTCTTCGTACCCTGGCAGATAAGCACCGATGCTCTGCATCTTCGTGTCAGTGAAAGGGAGTGGGCCACCCCCTGGGTACTTCCACACTGCATACGCAGCGACTGGCGGGTCATCACGGCTGGTAGCTGGTAGCTGAGATGGGGCTGGGGCTTCGGGTGAGGTGCTGTCACCACCTGAAGGGTGACCTGGCCTGCCAGTGTGTAGAGATCGCAACGCCGGCTGTGTGGGATTCCGTAATACCCGAAGGGCACAGAGGCTTTTACACTCTACATTTCTCTACTTTATTACAGATTACAGATATCACAGAAAACACCACTGGCAAATATACCTATGATAATAAAGCAAGTACATATATCGAGCTGTTACAAAATACCCTTAGCGATCAATAATATATTATTGATCAGCAGTATGGTAGCAATCGATAGTAAAGCAACAGTCAGTAGGACAGCAATAACCAAGCAGGTACATACTGTTACGGGTTACTGCAAACTTAGCATTAGTGAAGCAAACTTACCAACAGTGTAACAGCTGATCTACTTATGACTGATTACCTATAAAGACATATCAGTATGAAGTGAGTTAGACAGATTTCAGAAAGGGCCAAACCATCCCAGAGGGGAGGACAAACTGAACCTCAAAAGTGGGCCTGAGAGGGACCACGAAAATAAGAGTTTCACTTCAAGGATGGTCCGTGTCACAGAGTCTGGTGGTACCCAGACATCCCTGCTGAGAGTCCCAAGAGCTCACAGAAACTTTGTGCAGAGAAGTCAGCCTGTTTAGGAAAGGAAAAATATGCGCAGCATGGGAAGTTCTCAGAGAGGCAGGCTCGATTTTGGATTAAAAATTAAGCCCTTTTTATATCACAGAGACATAAGAGGGTGGAGAACACCACCACTGCGAGCAGCCAATAGATGCTGATGTTTCTAATTTTCTACTTTGCACCTGTAACGGCCAATAGATGATGAGGTTTCTGTTCTTTCAGGCCATTTTTTATTTTTTCAGACTAGTTTCCACCTTTTCAGACAGTAAGTTGCCTTTACAGTCCCTTGTTTTTGCGCTTATCAGTGGTAGCTCAGGACGCCTCTGGTTTCTAGCTGTACTTCAGAGAGGCCAGCTGCACTTTTTGAGGCTGTTGCTGATTCCCAGCCTCGCAGTCCCCAGGCTGGCAGACATTTTTTCTGTCAGTATTTTTCAGCAGGCAGTTGGTTCTGCTCAGTAATTTTCCCCTTCTAACCAGGTCACCTTTCTTGCTGCTCGCACTGGGTGTCGTCAGCGCTGCACTCCCGCTGGCATGGTTTGCAGCAGTCGCAGCGCGTGTTGCAGGGTAATTCTTTTGCTTCAGAACTCTCCTTCAGAACTGGTTTGCTTTCCTTCCCTTTTACACCAGACTGGAAAGGGAGTTGGTGGAGTAGTACAGTACTGTATGGCTGTGTGCGGTGGCTGATTTTAGCGAGTATTCTTGTGTGTCATCTGCTGTCATCTTAATTATGAAGCCTGCTGACAGCAAAGAAGATGCAGATATGAACTATCAATTGGCTTAGCAGGCAAAGACAGAAAAACTGTAGCTTTTTAAAAAATCAAATCTTGAGGATAGATCAGAACTTCAGATGCTAACTCTGGGCACGAGAGCTGGCATGTCAGACCTTTCCCTGCCACAGGACTCCCACAAACTGGTGTGACCCTCAAGATCCCTTTTTTCAGATCTTTGCCATCCGGTCCGTCGGCAGCCTTGGGTGAGGCGTCTGAACTCCTCCTGCTGCGGGTTGTGGGAGCTGGTGTGCCGGAACATTGCTGGTTCTTCCAAGGGCACAGCTGGTGGGAGAGGCTCACAGCCCCGCCAGCCTGGGCTGTTCATTGCTGTTCTTGGTGCTTTGCTGAACTTCCTCGACCATTGCCTTGGCTGTGTAATCGTTTGCAGGGCCCTGCTCTAACCAGGCGAGGACTCTAGTCACTGACAACATGGATTGAGCTCCTTCCTCTGCCCGGAGGAGCCCAGAAGACCTGTCCCAGGGGGATGCTGTAACCAGCATGATGTCTGCTCTTCTGAGATGGAGCCATATTCATTCCCCTGCTTGCAGCTGTGCAGTCTGACCCCTGTAATTCAGTATTCATTGGTCCAGAGGGAGGGAGGGAGAGAAAACACCTTTATAATCTGATTATTAGGGCAGTCATGCAGAAGGGGGGAGCTGGCCTGTGCTTCATGTGAAACATTTATGTAGTTCTCAGAGGAGAAATTGGGTTGCTGGATAAAAGGGGTAATGTTACCACCTTCTTCAGCCAGGTTTGAATGAGGCCCAGGTGCTCAGAGTGTCCCTGCTAGACAATGGTCCTTTTCCGAGTGTGATGGGGAAGAATGCTTGATGGGTGCTCTGAGCAGGAAACGAGCACTTGGAGCTCAGTTTTGTTACCATTTGAGCTGTGCCTGGATTTGGCCGTGGAAAACATCTTGGGCATTTCAGGCCCCTGGAGAGCAGAGGTGATGCCACCCCTAGGCAGTTGGGCGCTGGAGCTGCGGACCGTGCTGTGCTGCACGTCCGGGGAGGAGGATGGAGGACTTCCCATCCCAAGAATTTTACTCCTTCTGTTTGCTGTCGTCTGATCTCAGGCTGACACGGCACGGCTGCACCTGCAGCGTGGCCAGACGGCGTTCAGTTGCTGCAGCTCGAAGAGCGAGGCCTTCGGGTCGCTGTGGTGCCTGCGTCGCACACTTGTGCAGGCTGCTAGCTCACAGCTTGCCTCCTCACGTGCCCGTGTGCGCTTGAGCAGCGCAGTGTGGTCCGGCACAGGCGCATTGCACAGTTCTTTCCATCCCCCTTTCCCGCTTCCTTTCTCCTGCCCTCCCTTGCAGGACTGTTTCTGAACCTTTCCTGCCTCCCTGTGTCTTTTCTCCCTTTCCGTTAGCCTGCGCCAGCTTGTGAAGCGCCGACAGCTGCTTGCTTCCCGCTGTGTCCTTGGGACAGATCTTTGCTGTGCTGACAAGACCCTCAGCCCAGCCAGGTGCCTGCACCTTTGAAAGAAAAGCCACTTTCTGCTTCCACAGCTCACTTCAGGACATCGCCCATTCTACTCCCATGGCAGGTTTAAGAATCTAGGACAACTGTGGCACGGAGTGCCTCATTTCTAGGGTGCAAGAGTGGCTGTAGTTAGCATCAGTCTGAAAAAGTCCAGTTGGGCATTAGGTTTATTAGCTGGGACTGGAGACAGCTTCTATTGAGGCAGGTTTGTTTTCAAAAACTTCTGCTCTGAGTGATTGCTATAACCGAGGGGCCTCCAAACCTTACCCTGCTGTGACTGTCATCCTGCGCCCCGGGACTAAGCTCTGCCCGCAGCTTCAGTCTGAACACAATATTCTGTGGTTACACAAAGCCACGTATTTTTAAATCCTGCCTTACGAGGTAGCAGGTTTAAGTGATTGCTATTTAATGGCTGCAGTGTCCTTTGTTTCAGGAAGCTGGCACCATCTCCAAGTCTTGCAAAGAGAAAAAGAAAGTAAAGAAGAAACCAGCCTGCAGCCCTGGAGGAGCACTGGTGAGACTGCGCTGAGGAGAGAACCTCCGACGAGGGGCGGGCGGACCGAGGAGGTACAATGGGGATACTCTAGACGATGCAAAGTGTCTGCGTGGCCCAGCTCCACAGATGAGCTGTGGTTCTCTGCATTTCATTGAAGTATTTTTTTAGTTCTCTGAGATAGATAGAAAATATTTTTAAATCACAGCAGATAATTTTTAATTTAAAAAAAAAAAGGCAGAAAGATTTCTCTTCCTGTCCATGTAGTAGTTTAGCAACAGCTTTGAAAATTACAAGGTGACATTTCAGGAGTTAACTGCAGCAATGTCATAGGCCCTCCTAGGTCTGAGAAAAGCATCCTTATCTACTAGTCTGTTTTGTACTACTGCCTTGGGAGGAAAAAAGGGAAAAAAAAAGCACCTTGCCTCCTAAAATAATCGGATAGGACCTTCAGTGTGGAACCAGAATGCAGTGTCTGGGAGTTGCCAGGCCCCTTGATTTTCATCTTCGAGTCATTGCTAAATAAGCCAGGAAGCGATGCCTTCGCGAGGTGCCAGATGAACTGCAGCGGCAGGCCTCCGAGTCTTAACTCGGGGCTGAAGAGTTCACTAGGGTGTGGGGCACGTTGAGCTTAGAAACGGCAATCCCCACCTCCCTCCACGCCTAAAAACATTTAATGACTTTACATATATCTCACTGTGTGCTGCTGTGAAATGCTTTTCCCTTTGGAACCCTCATTGTGCGTATTTTGAGAGTTTTCAGTTCAGTAAGAAATCCTTGCACTTAAAGGTTAATTTGCTAGTGCTTGAATTCTGATCTGTCCTTCCCTTACCAAAGGAAACTTTATCTCTCAGAATTTCAAAAAAAAAGCAATGTTTCTGTGTGCACAGACTGAGGGAGAGGCACGCTGAGTAACAGCATAAACTTTGCAACAGAGCTAAAGGGGAGAAATTCAGTCTCGAGCCCACTTCAGCACGTGGGAGATGATGGTGGTCAGAAGCTGCAGGAGATGAGCTATTTCCTACATGACCAACGGTACTAAACTCTCATGGAGGAACAGTGCAGAGATCAACCTGAGCCATTCCTCAGCTAAAGGGCAGCAAGGCTGGTGAAGGGTCTGGAGCACAATTCTCATGAGGAGCAACTGAAGGAACTGGGGTTGTTTAGCCTGAAGAGAAGGAGGCTGAGGGGAGACCTTATCGCTCTCTACAACTACCTGAAAGGAGGTTGTAGTGAGGTGGGTGTTGGTCTCTTCTCCCAAGTAACTAGCAATAGGATGAGAGGCAATGGCCTCAGGTTGTGTCAGTGGAGATTTAGATCAGATATTATGAAAAATTTCTTCACTGAATGTTCTGGAGTCACCCATCCCTGGAGGTATTTAAAAAGATGTGTAGACATGGTGCTTAGGGACACAGTTTAGTGGTGGACTCGTCAGTCTTCACTTAGTGGTTGGACTCGATGATCTTAAGGGTCTCTTCCAACCTAAATGACTCTGATTCAGAGAACCTCAGAAATGGTTATATTTTACAAGACAACGGATTCATATACTATATGTATATATATTCATATACATATATTGGGCGGACCTGCTGGAGAGCAGCTCCGTGGAGAGGGACCTGGGTATCCTAGTGGATGACAGGTTGACCACGAGCCAGAAGTGTGCTCTGGCTGCCAAGAAAGCCAATGGGATCCTGGGGTGCATTACGAAGAGTGTGGCCAGCAGGTCGAGGGAGGTTCTCCTTCCCCTCTACTCTGCCCTACTGAGGCCCCACCTCGAGTATTCTGTCCAGTTCTGGGCTCCCCAGTTCAAGAAAGATGAGGAGCTACTGGAGAGAGTCCAGTGGAGGGATATGAGGATGGTGAGGGGACTGGAGCATCTCTCCTACGAGGAGAGGCTGAGGGAGCTGGGCTTGTTTAGCCTGAAGAAGAGAAGGCTGAGAGGGGACCTTATAAATGCCTATAAATATCTGAAGGGTGGGTGTCAGGAGGATGGGGCCAGACTCTTTTCAGT